CCACTCCCCCCCCGGCCCTCCCCACAGACCCTCCTGGCTGCTCCGCCATTCCCCACTCCCCCCCCGGCCCTCCCCACAGACCCTCCTGGCTGCTCCGCCATTCCCCACTCCCCCCCCGGCCCTCCCCACAGACCCTCCTGGCTGCTCCGCCATTCCCCACTCCCCCCCCGGCCCTCCCCACAGACCCTCCTGGCTGCTCCGCCATTCCCCACTCCCCCCCCGGCCCTCCCCACAGACCCTCCTGGCTGCTCCGCCATTCCCCACTCCCCCCCCGGCCCTCCCCACAGACCCTCCTGGCTGCTCCGCCATTCCCCACTCCCCCCCCGGCCCTCCCCACAGACCCTCCTGGCTGCTCCGCCATTCCCCACTCCCCCCCCGGCCCTCCCCACAGACCCTCCTGGCTGCTCCGCCATTCCCCACTCCCCCCCCGGCCCTCCCCACAGACCCTCCTGGCTGCTCCGCCATTCCCCACTCCCCCCCCGGCCCTCCCCACAGACCCTCCTGGCTGCTCCGCCATTCCCCACTCCCCCCCCGGCCCTCCCCACAGACCCTCCTGGCTGCTCCGCCATTCCCCACTCCCCCCCCGGCCCTCCCCACAGACCCTCCTGGCTGCTCCGCCATTCCCCACTCCCCCCCCGGCCCTCCCCACAGACCCTCCTGGCTGCTCCGCCATTCCCCACTCCCCCCCCGGCCCTCCCCACAGACCCTCCTGGCTGCTCCGCCATTCCCCACTCCCCCCCCGGCCCTCCCCACAGACCCTCCTGGCTGCTCCGCCATTCCCCACTCCCCCCCCGGCCCTCCCCACAGACCCTCCTGGCTGCTCCGCCATTCCCCACTCCCCCCCCGGCCCTCCCCACAGACCCTCCTGGCTGCTCCGCCATTCGCTGCTCCCCCCGGCCACCCCCCCCCCAGCCACTCCCACTGAGAGCAGGGAGGTGGGACTCGCTGGCTCATGCGCCCACCCCCTCAGGGCACTGGAGACGTCCCAGGGGCTTTGCATTAAGGTGGGCCTGCGCGGTGACGGCAGAAGCAGGCACGGGGCACAGCCCAGGTGCGGAGGGCACCAGGACATGCTCGCCGCGGGCCTGGCTTGGCGCAAGGCAGTGCTGCCTTTGGCTTGCTGGAGTGGGAGGCCCCTGGGCCCGATGTGCCAAGGGATTTAGGCGCCTCTTTGAAATCAATAGGCCTTGGCGGCCTAAGTCTGGCCCCTGGGCCTTTCTGTGTTCTGAGAAATATGCAAACAACTAGATCCCTAGGGTGGAGATTTCCCAGGTGGTGCAAACTCCGCTGTGCCAGGGCCGGCCACCGTCCAGCTGCCATGGAGCAGTCTGGCCCAGGGAACAGAGCAGTTGCCTGGGACTCCGGATTCTAATCCCAGCCGGGCTACTGACATCCTGGGCCAGTCACAGTGCTGTTCCATTCCTCAGTTTCCCCATCTGTAAAGGCGGGCAATGCTATTGGCCTCCTTTGTTAAACCCGTCCTGGGCTGCCCGGCCATCTCTCCCATGCAGGCCTGCACTGGATTATTTGCATTTGTAATATCCTAACACAGCGCAGCCCTTCTCAAATGGATTAAAACCTCCCTGCTCAGTCCCAGCCAGTGATTGCGAATGGGGCACAGTGTCGCCTGGCGGGGCTCTGGGCTCAGCCCTTGCTCCTCAGTCTCTCTGGCTGGAGCTGGGAGGAAATCTGAGACCCAGGCCAGTGACTTTGCAGCTGAGCAGGCTGCGGGGTGGAGACACGGCGGAGGCCAGGTTGGTCTCCCAGTGCTCCGGTGCTGCTCCGTAAGCTGGGCTTGTGACCGATGTGTCTTTTAATACAGCCGGTGCAAGGTCATGCATCTCGGAGAGGGAATGTAGGTCACAATTCAAGGCTGGGGAAGCAGACAGGATGGAAGGGTCATGGAGGGAGCCAGCTGCCTAGGAGCCGTGGTGAGAGGGCTAATGCCGTCCTGCTGCGGATAAGCGGGGGGATCTCAGTAGCGGAGGGGGGAGGATACGGCACTGGTGTGACCATCACTGGCCCCGGGGGGCAAGGCAGCCGTGCTGGCGTTGGGCTGCGCTGGCGTTGGGCTGCGCTGGCATTGGGCTTTAAGGACAGGTGAGCTCTCCGGCAGCACAGGGAACCCGCCTCCCACCCCGAGGGCAGACATGCACAGACGCTCCCTCAGACGTAGCATTGGGTACACGGGCTTCGGCCGGTCTTGCCACGTTGCCCGGGGGGAGGATTGGGGATTTACAACCTGGAGCAGCATCGTTACCTGACGTGGGTCTGCAGTGTAGACCCGGCCTCAGGCCGCACGGCCAAAGGAGGGGGGCGAACGGGCAAGGGCTCAGCCTTGGGAATGCCTGGGAGCCGGCCCTGGTGCGGATGGTTATGGAACCAGGCCATTCCGTTTCTCCAAGAGAAGGCTCAGAGGCGACCAGCCCCCAGGCTCCAGGCCCCTCGAGGGAGAGGAGCATGAGGGCAGCCCCGGGCCCTGCAATCTGGCAGGAAAAGGTGGAACATGATTTGAAGCTAGAGACTGAAGCAAACCAGCAGGCCATGGTGCCGGGAAAGAGCCAGGGGAGCAGCTGGCCCAGGGATTCTCCTTCACCTCGAGACTGGGCCATTTGCAAACCTCCACTGCTCTCCAGCAGAAGCTCTGGGCTCGGTGCAGCAATCCCTGAGCAAGGCTCTGGCCTGTGGGATGCTGAAGGCCCAGCTAGACGGGGAGACTGAAGAAAGAGAAACCTCCGCAAATGCTGCTTGGCCCACCGGCTGTCACTGTTCTCCGGGCTTTGTCGCGAGTCTTGGGATGTTCAGTGCATCTCTGGAGCAGGGAGCGTATCAGAGTCTGAGCTTTCATTCACAAATGATAAAGGCAGTGTCTTGAAAAAGAGCCTTTAAGAGCTCAAAGCCCAGCAGGAAAGAAACCTGAACCCACCAGTGGTTCTTTGGAAGCCCTTGTGGCGCCCAATTGTCACCAATTCCAAGGCCAGGAGAAACCACTGCGTAGTCTGCCTCTGGGCACAGCACCGGCCCTGGGACCTGCCTGCCCACCAGAACACACCGTGGCCGTCTCTCACTCGCACTGTTACCAAATGGTGCCTTGTTTTGCATCTCAGCTCGTCTGTTTCTGTGAGCCCAGGGCTGGCCATCTCTAGCGGTGGGCGAGCACAGCTGGATACTAAAATCCCAGTCCGACGGTGACGCCCACTTACCGCTCCTGAAAGGAACCCGGAGATGGCTCCGGCTCCAGGCCATGTGCCAAAGCGAATCCCGGCGTTGGGAAATGCACAGCAGCCGACTCACATGTCCAGCTCTGGAGCGTCTACACTAGGGATGTAATAGTGTTGTCCATTAACCGATGAACTGATGAGCACAAGCATGTAGGTTAATGCTACAGACTGCATGCATTCCCTCCGTCCACTCGTCAGTACATTCGTTAGCAGACTGGCCAGCACCCCAGCTCAGTCCAGGCTTGCAACGGGTCCAGGACCAACCCTCCCACCCCCTCCGCCCCGTGTCAGAGAATCTGCCCCGAGGTTCCAGCCATCACAGAGGAAGGCACTGCTAGCTAGTGGTTAGAGCAGGCAGGTTCCAGCTGCAAGTCACTGCCTGGCTCGCCCAGTTACTTCCCTGATCTCTTCCAGCAGTTGCCACATATCTAGGCGTGACTAAGGCCCCTGGCCCCCAGGATTAGGTGCCACGGATGCGCCATGCAGAGGGCGGAGCAAAGCGATGTGCTGGGACCCCTCCCTGCTGCCAGGGTAGAGCCGAGCAGGGATGTAACCCGTTGCCTGCCGGAGCCCTTCCGCCAAAGGGGGTTCTCTGAGATCCTTTTGCTTTAAGCTGCTCTCCCCTCACAGCCACTGCTGGCCCCAGGGCCCCATGCAGGCGGCTGGAGGAGCTGCCGTTGGCATGAGCCATCCCACCAGGGCCCTTTGCCCGCCCAGCAATTATGACTCCACATATGCTGCCAGGAAACTGCCTGGCCCCTGCTCTCCTGGGCTACCCTCCGCACACCCTGCAGTTACACTGGGAGCTGCTCCCCTCCCCCCCACTCCCCCGTCTAGCACTGCGCAGGGGATGGGGGTGGTAGGAAGAGAGCGGGAGCCACATCTGGCCACGTCCGAGTACAGGCGCTCACCAGCCCGTAGCCAAGCACTGGCCTTTGGGATGCTAAGGTCCCTGGCAGGGGCTGGGCATCACTGTGAAGTCTTGGTAGCTAGTCAGGGTCACCCGCGGTCCAGCCAGACACCTAGACATCCCAGGCCATGAGCCCAGCAGGTAGGGATGTGGGCGTGGCCTGTGGCCTGGCCCCGTGAGACCTGCTGAGCCCAAGCCACAGTTCAGTGCGAGGCCTGGTCCTCCACAGCAGCCGGGGGTCGGCAGTGCTATAGGGCAGGGCACTGGCTGGGCAGAGGCTGGATTAGCCACCCACACACACCACTGAGTGCTGACGGGGAGGGGTCTGTGCCCAGCTGAGGCCTTCACCCTGTGCCAGGGAAAGGGCACAGAGCCTGCTTGCTTTGCCCTGGGAGGCAGGGGCAGGGTGCTGGGAAGAGGCCGAGCTCTGGGGTGGGATGGGGGGACCTGCAGCCCCTGTCCAGGCTTTGAGATGAGGCCCACGAGGCTGTGACCCCACAACTCGGGGCAGGCTGGGGGGCTCCCAGCTGGGCTGTGTCGGGGATTGCACTGGCGGCTGAGGTTTGGGCCAGGGGAGGGAGATCAGAGGCCCTGAGGATCTGAAGCCTTGTGGGAGGGGTGGGGCGAGTTGCTGCTAGGAGGGGTCAAGCCCCCCATCAGGCCTTGGGCTGGTCCCTGCTGGAGTCCCGTGTGGGCCTGTGAGTGCCCCTAGTGCAGAGGGGTAGGCCGCACTGGAGCGGAAGGTAGGGCCTGGCTCCAGGGAGTGCTGCAGAAGAGACATTACCAGGGGAGGGGCAGGGCCCACAGCAGGAAGGTTCAGGGGTGTATCTCCCCCACACTCCATCTCACACACACCCCTTCCCTTGCAGTCGGTGTCCCCGGAGCAGGAAGGCTTCTTCAACCTGCTGACCCACGTGCAGGGCGGGCGCATGGACGAGCAGCGCTGCAACGTCCAGATTGTGCACAAAAGCAGCGCTGACCCGGAGAAGCGTGAGTCCTGGGGGCGGGCAGCTCTTGGGTTTAGCGCCACGGGTCCCATCCCCACGCCTACCCACGCAGGGGGTGGGAAAGTGGCCTCAGCAAGGATGGCTCATCACTAGGCGCTGGGTAGCAGCGGAGGCAGCCTGTGGAACTCCCTGCTGCCAGCAAGTGAGAAGTCCAGTCCTGAGGCTGGATTGGAGCTCGGAAGCTTTATCCCACGAAGAGTGTTTGTGGTTCTGCCAGGCTGGGGCTGGGCTTGCAGGCAGGCAAGGAGCTGCCAGCCCCGTGAGCACCGTGGCTGAAGGGCCAGGTGCATTCTGGGAGGTTTACAGTCCCTCTGTGGGTGGGACTGGAGGGGCATGGTCAGTGCTGTTGTGGGGGGAGGTGGGATGCAGGGAGGGAGAGGGCCATGGCCCTCCAGGGAAGGGTCAAGGCCCCCTGTGGGAGTGGCCCGGCCTTTGGCTCATGCCTGCGTTTGTGGCGCCTGCAGAGGACAGCCCGAGCCCCCCGCCGGAGATGGACAATTTCCTGGACATGCTGGCGCAGACGCAGAGCCGGCGGATGGACGACCAGCGCGTCAGCTTCAGCTACCTCCCTGGCTTCCAGAACACCGACCGCCACGCCGCCAGCAAGCCAGCCTCCGGGCCAGCCAAGGTGAGGCCCTGCGGCTCTCGCTGTGCTCTGTGGCCAGGTGCCGGAGCGTGCGCCCGGCCAGCGTAGCCATGAGCGGGGCGGAGGGGCTCAGGGCATTGCCGTTGGGTGTGGCCGTGTGAGGAACTCCCTGGGGGCGACATCTGACGAGCGCAGTCCCAGGGGCGTCCAGGAGAGGGCAGTGGCGGGTGTTGGAGTGAGAAGGCGGGGGGGGCACATGGCGAGGGTGGGGCAGCCTCGTGGAGCAGGGGGAGGCCCTGCAGAACTGAACTGAGGCTTCACCCCTGGGCCAGGCCACCTAGAGAACCAGGCTCTGCTGCTCACCAGTGCCAGGAGCCCACCCAGGCTGGGAGAGCCCATCGCTCCTCCTACCCCCATCTGTGCACCCCCAGCACAAGGGCTCCCCTCCGCCCCATTCGGCAATGCAGTGACAGAAAGGACCCAGCGCCCTGGCAGTGGGGCCGGATCCAAAGCCCGGCAGAGGGGAGGCAGTGGCATAGGGCCCATGGGCACCAAGAGGGGAAAGTAGCTGGCAGATGCCCCCCCCATTCCGAGCCCATCGCTCCTCCTACCCCCATCTGTGCACCCCCAGCACAAGGGCTCCCCTCCGCCCCATTCGGCAATGCAGTGACAGAAAGGACCCAGCGCCCTGGCAGTGGGGCCGGATCCAAAGCCCGGCAGAGGGGAGGCAGTGGCATAGGGCCCATGGGCACCAAGAGGGGAAAGTAGCTGGCAGATGCCCCCCCCATTCCAACTCCCACCTGGCCTGCCTGTGTCTCTCCGCCCCCCTCCCCCCACTCACCCAATTAGAAACCAGCCCAGGTACCGCAGCAGCCATTAGCAGCCCACCAATGACTAACCCTCAAAGCTGATTGGCTGATGTGGCGCACACAAAGGGCTCCTGGCACAGGCACAGGTGTGTGTGTCGGGGGCTCCTTCACCAGCAGCGCAATTGGCTGCATCCCCCTGGAGCGGCCACACCCCAGGCCCCCTCCCGAGTGACAGGCAACCCCTGCAAGATGGGCAGATACTGGCCCATAGTGCCCCTCCCCAGGTCTCCATGTTCACTCAGGCCCATTTGGTGCCCCAGGGCTGCTGTGTGCCCACAATGAGCCGGAGCTTTGCAGCCCCTCTGCTGGAGAAGCCCCCGCCCAAGGCCGTCTGCGCTGTCTGTTAGCCAGCTTGCCCACTGGCCGGCTGCCAGGGGCGCTAGCTCCACTTTGCAGATGGGGAAACTGAGTCACGGAGAGCAACAGGATCTGGCTGAAAGTCAGAGTGATTCAGTAAGTCAGCCAGGGCTAGGCCCCAGCGGTCCTGGCTCCCAGCCCCCCTGCTGTAACCCAACCCCTCCCAGAGCTGGGGTTAGAGCCCAGGATACCTGCCCCCTTCCCAGGCCCTGCTGCAGCTGGTCCACTCAGAGGGAGCGGGGCTGGTCAGTGGCTGCGAAGGGAGGGGGGAGTTGATGCCAGCATGGGGGCAGAGAGCCCGTCCCCTGGCATTTCAGTCAGTGTCTGGCGCCAGCTGGTGGTGACTGGCTGCAGTGAGATGCCTCAGGGCAGCAGCTGGCTGTGAAGTTCCCTGAGGGACAGGGGACAGAACCTGCCTCTCAGCGCCTCCCCCGTCCCTTCCTTAACCCCTGGCCTGGCTCAGCGCGAGGGGCCCAGGCTGCAGTGAGTCTGGCAGGCCAAACATGGGAACCCCCCGTCAGGGATCTGCCCCTTGGCCAGCTGGCAAACCCGCCCCCTCCTCTGGCTGTCTTGTGGCTTCTGTGAAGTTCCCTGAGGGACAGGGGACAGAACCTGCCTCTCAGCGCCTCCCCCGTCCCTTCCTTAACCCCTGGCCTGGCTCAGCGCGAGGGGCCCAGGCTGCAGTGAGTCTGGCAGGCCAAACATGGGAACCCCCCGTCAGGGATCTGCCCCTTGGCCAGCTGGCAAACCCGCCCCCTCCTCTGGCTGTCTTGTGGCTTCTTTTTCCCCCCCCT